TTTGCATGGTGCCAATTATAATTTATTTCTTTACGATTTACTATCTTGTTGCTACAATTTGTGTGATATAATTCTGATACGTTTTGCGTCTAGAGAGCTGCCCATGTGTACTCAGAAGCCAGGAGGGTACATGCTTTCAAGGACATTGTATCGTCAAATTTAAGGTAAGTCTTCTGGAAGTGGTCACAGCCTTATCTTTCCATAAATGCTCTTTGATTTTTGCATGACTTAAGCAATAGATATTTCTGGGCTGAAAAATTGATTAAATATTTGGCAGTCCTTAACGTAAAATGATTAAGTTCGAATATTGAAGCTTGTATTGATGTGCTAAAAAACTCTTGGATTGATGACATATCCTGCCATTTTTATTGCCTTGACTTGGAGACGTTGAAATGTTTTTGTTGCAATTTTTTGCAAAATGCTGCCCAGCTTTAATCATTTACATTTAGATGAGGGCCTTCTCCTATGATGAAATCTGTATGATTACACTGTTGTTTGACATTTTATTTCTTTATCTTCATTAAAACCTTTTGATGATTCATCTCTGGTTTGAATTGCATTTCTTTCTTTCTGTCTCTGTTTTTTTTTTTTTTTAAGGATGTCAAATTTTTTAACATCTCATTGATGCATTATCTTTCAGTGAGGCTGAAACACTCAAAAAGCTTGGTGACTTGATGAATGAGAGCCATTATAGCTGCAGTGTTTTATATGAATGCAGGTATGTGTTGTTTGCTTGTTTTTTAAGATGATAAGTTTGCTTCTTCCTTTATTAACTTATTGCAATCATGAAAGTTTGTTTTGTATGCTTGCTGTTTTAGAGGTATTATCTATCGTATAAAACTTTCAAACCAAATCATCTCATAAAACTGAACAATGTGGTCTTTCTTTACATGATCTACTTTTAATGTTGTTTTTTCTCTGCTTGTTTTGGCAATCAGCTGTCCAGAATTGGAAGAACTTGTAAACATATGCCGCAAAAATGGCGCTCTGGGGGCGAGGCTTACCGGGGCCGGATGGGGTGGTTGTACTGTCTCTTTGGTGAAAGAGAGCCTGGTCCCACAATATATCCTAAATTTGAAGGTCTCTTGATAATTCTTAGACATTGTTTTTAATCATTGGAATTAACATGTGGTTAATAATGCTGGATTCTGGACATCTATTGCAGGAACAATTTTTCCAGTCTAGGATTGACAAGGGGGTAATCAACAAGAATGAGCTTGGACTTTATGTATTTGCCTCCAAGCCATCAAGTGGTGCTGCTATTTTCAAGTTTTAAGTACCGTTTCTACTTTTGAAACTTTTTCAACCTTCGTAGCTAAAACCATGTTAGAGATTTCCTTTTTAATTCTCATACGTTTGTTAATAATCAATCTGTAACTTAAATCAATAAATCAATGATAAATAATTTTGCCGGCAGCGCAACATGGTCGTGTCTTGTAGTCTGATAAATAATTTTTATACCACCACAAGTGATGAATTTCTTTCGTGTCATATTTTGCCCAATACTTCATCAAGTTTCATTTATAAGCCACATTTTACAAAATTTATTTAATCTTATTTATAAATTGTAGTGCAACTTTTTAATTAATAGTTAAAAATTATTTTTAAAATTATTATTTATAAAAGAAAAAAATTAATATGATATTATTTTTGAATTTATTTTATAAAGGTATATTAAGAATTTTATATACTTTTATTTCTTTATTTTTAATATTTACATTGATAGGATTAGTAAAAATGATTTATAAAAAAAACTGAATAAATAAATAAAAGTCTTCTTAAGTTAAAATTTTAAATAAATAAAATTGTGTCCTTGATCTGGGATCTTGTACTATAAATGTGCACATACAATTGTAACTTATTTATTGGATTATTAGATACTATTAAATTATTAGGTGGGAGTACACCCCACGTGATCATCATGCAAATGAGCCTCCTCAATAATTGGATCTTCAGCTTTAAAGGATTATTCCACGTCACAAACGCATTTTCTACCTCAATAAAGGTGTTTATGTGTTTGATTTGGTTTTGAAGAAAAATCAAATTAAATCTAACCAATAGATTCACCAAAGATTGAAATCTTTTCAGTTTCTTTTTCCAGATCAATTTCGTTTGATTTTTGAATGGTTTGATTTAAATTTAAATTAAATTTATTTTTTAGATTTTTTTATAATCAATGTGTACGGGCATTTTAACTAATAATTTTAATTATTAATTAGTATTTTTAATGAAAAAATATCTTGAAAACAAAAATAATATTTTTTAACGATTATTTAGTATATTTAACTATTTGAAAACTAATATTTTACTTTTAAAACAAGTGATTATAAAATTAAAAAATAATCATAAATAATTATGGACAATATTTAATTAATTGGAACATATTTTAACCAATAACTTACAGATAACTAAATTTGGGAAAAATTTTGTGGAAAAAAATTTGGGAAAAAAGAAAAAACTTTAGGCATTTATAAAATTATATAAAATAGATATAATAAGATTTGGTTTTGTTTGGTTCAAATTTCAAGAGACAAAAATTTAAACCAAATCAAGTTAATTATTTTGTCAAAATAAAAATTAAATTAAACATTATTCATAGTCAATTTAATTTGATTTGATTTGATATAATCAGTTTAAACTAGTTTTGAATACTTTTATTAGAGAGCCATTTTGTATTTTTATTTTCATAGAAACTAACTAGCAGCAGTAGTTTGACGACAAGGAGAAGTTAAGCTTTTTTTTTGGGGGGGGGGGGGGGAGATTTCAAAGATTTCAAAAAATTGATCATATTTTTGTAACATTTATTTGAAAAATTATGTTAATTGAGTACAATTTAAGTGTTAGTTTTTTGTCCATTTAGGGGGGCAAATTTTTAGGCCAGGAAGAGAATTTTTTTTATTCTTTTTATAAGTAGCATTATTAAATTTTTATCAAAAATTTCTCCTTTCGCCTTACTTTCATTGAATATTAAAAAGAAATAATATATTATTAATATAAATATATATATATATATATTTAATGAAGGCAAGGTGGAAAACTTATTAAAATTTTAGGTAAAGTAAATGTGTTTTAAGATTTTTCTTAATTTTAATAAAATATATTAAAAGTAATTTATAAATAAGATTTTTCCTCAAGTAACATTTTTTTTATTGAGACCATGGAGTTAATATTTACTTGTGTGTGTGTGTATAATGATACTTGTATCAAATGCTTCCCATGTAACATGCGGTGGAATTAGTATTAGTTTATAAAAATATAACTAAATTTTTTGGTACCTAAGTGTAGTTGAAAGTTTAAGTAAAAAGATCTTTATGCTCATACTTACTAAAAATGATATATTGAAGTCATATTTACTTTTTATTTATAATTGTAATTTCATAATTTATAAGAAGGAATTATTAATTTACAAGTTATATTTTAATTTTTATAAATAATAAATTGAAGTCATATTTATTTTTCACCTACAATTGTAACCTCACAATTTATAAATAAAAATTTTTAATTCACTAATCATATTTTTTGCTTTATAAATAATAGACTAACATTATGTTTACTCTTCATAACAGCTACAACTTCAAAATTTATAAATAAAAAATTTTAATGTACAAGTCATATTATACATTTTATAAATACAAATGCAACTTTTTTTTAGATATAATTTAATATATTTTAATAAAAGTAATTTTGTCTTTGCATCACAACTACAAATTACATGCAAGTCTTGAGAGATTTGGTTGCAATTTCTTTATTTTGCATGTCTTAATTGTAAATATGTTTGTTATTTGTGGCTTGTACATAAGTCCCTTTTTTATAGGAAGAAACACAAATAATAAAATATAATTTGTATATTTGATGGTATACAACTAATGAAAAAATATAAATAAAAATAATTTATATGACAAAAAATGCAATTAGATAAAAAATTGTTTAAATTCTATGGAATTTTTATACACATTGACAAATTCTTTTCATCAGTTGAATGAATGAAGGAATCGCTATTCCTTTAATTTGAGTGGATAGAAAACTCTATATTCAATTTTTTTTGACCAAATTAGGCTATTGCTTACTGCTTAATAATATAACTATTTGGTGTATTTATTAACAAAGTAAACTAAAATAACTTAGAAATCGACACGATTTGTTTACACTCATCATTGTAATTATTATGCGGTATTAAAAGATTAAAATGATTGCCAGTTATTGAATCACATGATTCAAATATATTGCAAATATTCGTAGATTTCTTCATTAATTACACTTATTTCCCATGTGAACGAGATCGATACTTGGTGCTCTATCAAGGATAAGTATCATTCATAGATAAAAGAAAACGCATTCATGAATTTTTAAGAGTGTAAAAATAAATTTAAATAACTTAGTTGCAATGAAAAATAAGATAAAATATTTTTATATTTGACAGATAAATTTAAGCTATTCAAGTTTATTTGTTTCTGTTGCACCCCACATCGGCTTCCCATTCTTTCCCAGCTAGTTGTTTAGTCTCAATATCTTCATAAGCTTGTAATAAAACATATTTTATAAATATATAGTACTAATTTTTTGCTATTTAAAAAACATAAAATAATTCGAATTACATATCTATTGTCTCATCTTTATCATCTACTATTAATAAATACGAATGGTGAAATTAAAAATAAAAATTATTTTTAAATAATAATAACAATAATATTTTTGTGACAAATAGGAGTATAATATATAGTAAAAAATATTTTTTTACCTAACCCAGTAACCTCCCTAAAACCTTTCGTTTTTGGCCACATAACCTCCCTAAAAGTTGAGAGTCAAAATAGATTGATTAAAAATGTAAAACTCTATTACCAAAAAAAAAAGAGTGAAATTCTAAAAAGAAAAGGTAGATGGAAAATTTAAGGAAAAAGAACTAATTTTGAAGGAAAAGAAAAAATGAAGATGACTAAATAAGGGGAATTTATAAAAGGAAAAAGGATTAAATTGAGGGCCACGGAAGACAATGCCAAGCTGGCAACTGTCGGCGAGGCATTTCTTCAATCCTTGGTGGCTTCCTAGCAATTCCATAGTACACAACAAGGCACACCATGTTCTTGTTTTGATTTTGGTTTATAAATATGGCGTTTTGAATGAATCAAACTGATCTCCCTGGGAAACAAAGCAAGTTCAGTGCTTTCCCGGTTATTTCCTTTACCCGTCTTGTTCGTTTATTATCTCTGGTTTTCTTTACCTCTGGGATTTTAACTCTCCCATTCTTGGCCTATCATCGGATCTGGGGCTCTTCCTTTTTTCTCTTAGAGGTTTTTCTCAACTTTTCTTCTTGTTCGTGTTTGTTTGTTGTTTGATGTTATTATGATGGCGGACCCTAGTTTCATGCTGTTGGGTTTTGGATTTTTGTGGGTTTTCAATCTTTTGATTTATGTGGGACTTTTTGGCATCTTTAGGCGAAATGTATCTTCATATGATGTGGGCAGTGAGAGATTTGTTTTTGCTACATTTTGTGGGGTTGATTGATTGAGTATTGTTCTTGTCTTCCCCCCCTTCCGTGGTTAGGTCTGAGATGAACTTTGGTGCTTTTGTTGGGACCGTGCACGTTTTTCTGGTTGTGCTATCCCTTGCTTTTTTGTCGGGGTTTTGCTGATTTTCTTTTTTTCTTGTAATCTTTTTCTGTAATTTAATTTGTGAATGGTGCTTTTAGCTTGCTGTTTCTGGATTTCCAATAACCGGTTTAATCTTGACCTTATAATGCAGGGTTAGTTCAGTATCGGAATTGCATTGGAGTGGTTGGAAATTATATTCAATTCACATGAGATTTTGACAGAAGGGCTTCAAAAGAAATAATTGTGCAGCTAGCAGTTGACACTGAGAATTTGCCATCTATATATATATATATTGAAACGTGGCCAGTTTGAGGTTTCTTAGATTCTCAGTTGTGGTCGTGAGTAGAACAGAAGTTATTTCTTGATAGTTTTGGTCATTGTTGGTCCTTACCGTATAATTTTATGTCAGAGAAGCTGTTAGGAGCTGCGTTTGGCAGAAATTTTTTGGCTCTTGTAACTTTGTTGTGTGACAATAGGAGATAGATTATAGATTGCATTAGGTTTGTGACATTAGGATGGGTCTATTAAATGCAGAAGATAAGGGTGCTGAACTTGATCTTGAAATAGGGTTGTCTGAAACAGAAGACAACTCAAAGAAAGAATCTAATCCAGTTGCTGCAAAACAAGAGAAGTCATTATTTGCTAAGGTTTCTGGAGGGGATGTTGGTACAAAGGAAGAAAAGCCAAATTTATACTGTAATGAGTCGAATTTAAGCAGCATTTCCAAGCATGTGTCAAACAAGTTATTCTCTGGACAAGAGTCAGTTGACATGGAGAAAACCCCAGTAAAGGAGAAACGTAAGAAGGGCAGTAATAAAAAGGCACCCAAACCTCCAAGACCTCCCCGAGCCCCATCACTGGATGCTTTTGACCATAAGCTAATCAGGGAGCTAACTGAACTTGCCATGTTGAAGCGTGCTAGACTAGAGCGCTTGAATGCCTTGAAGAAGATGAGAACATCTAAATCATCATCTTCCAGTGGCAGTAGCAGCATACTTGCCACGATTTTCACTATTGTCTTTTGCATCGTGATAATATTCCAAGGTAATGTTTTGTCATTGAAGTAAATAATTATCTTGCATACATAGTTGTATTGCTAATACTGTGCAGTGAAATCTAAATTGGGATTAGAAATAGGCTTACGCATGATTGATGAGATAACCGTGGGAACGTTGCCAATTATTGGGATGAGTTTTAGACTAATTTATTACCTTGTCAATTTAGTTAACTTTGGAATCTGCATTTTATTGCTAGCTATGACCATTAGTATTAGTATTACTCTATTATCTGGAGAGCTAGACCTTTCCATTTTCCTGATTAAGAGGTTCGTAATTTGTCTGCAATGTTGAATGGAGACCACTGTAGCGTATGTGTGATGAGTAATCTCTAATCAAAGGCAATGTTTTCAAATTTTAACTGTAGTTATCATTTTCTAATTCTACTTCTAATGGTTGCTTATTTAATCCTGATTTTTTTTTTGGCCATCTTATTTGATCCTGATTTAGGATTGCTAAGCTATGGTAAAATTATAGAGGATTCAAAGGATCAATGAGGCAAAAGGCCTTCCATTAGAAGCCAGTCCTTTTAGATGTTGAGCTCATTATCCTGTCTACAAGTTAGGCATACTTTAATATTCATCGGATTTTGAAACATGTTTGAAGGGAATTTTGTTGACAAAGAGTATCCATGTTTATGCTGTTATCCATGCTTTCTGTTTATTTGCCGGCAACAGAATTTGCATTTTCCTCAATTAATAACTGGATCTAGTCTTTTCTTTTCCTTATAAATAGGATGCTGGGAGTGCGGTGAAGATCATTGAACTTCTAGCATTATAGACAAAAATTTCAGCATAAACCAACTTAGAATGCAAGATGGGAAATTAAGTTTTGAGAACAATGTTTTCTCAGTGACATGGGAGCCTTCATGCCATTTTGTGGAAGCTGTAGCTTTCTTGCCTCTTACGGTCCTATACGTTTTCTTTGTAGGCATGCCATCTGGAAGAAGTTCAGTGTCAAACTTCCAGGGATCTCCTCTATCGACAAGCGTAGATGATGGCGTGATCTCAGTTCAATACCCCCTCAATCCATCAGCAAATAGCCCGAATGCTCCCGGTATAGAGTCTCACAAGTAAGTTAAAATGTAAAATACACACACGTGCTTCTTATACTCTTCTCTGGCTGTAGATCTTTCAACTATATTCATATAACAGCACAACACCATGTTGCAGCCTTTTAACATCAATTTTGCTATTCCATGGTGTCTTGCAGTTTTGTAAAGCAGGTCACAAGTTCAGATTGGTCAGAACGAACGAGAAGACGCTCGGGTTAATGCGTTTTTTACCAAGAATAAAAATGGTGCAGTATTTGGCCAATAAAAGAGGGTTTAGTGTTCTTATTCCTCTGACACGATCCCTTTTATCTGTTTTGTCTGTTTACGTATTACTTCTCCTTTTATCATGAAACTGGGTATCAGAACTGGGTGGGTAACTTACCACTTTTTGTATATTAATCAGTGGTTTTGTTGGGGGGGCCTAATTGCCATAGCTGTACTGCTGGTAGTGTACATTGGCTTGCCCAATTCTTTTTTTATTATTTTTTTTGGGGCCTCTTTGGCTGATAGCAACTTCCTGTTGCTTAATTGTTTCAATGGTTGTAAGTTGCATAGTATTTCCGAATGTTGGAACAAAATTTTCCTTTCCGAGGTTCAGGAGCAGTTTGTCTTCATTTATGAAGAATCAGCGAGTGGACTCGGCCTGCAAAAATTGGACGATCAAATCCATTACTTCAGTATGATTTTACATGTCTGCTTGTGGTTGTTTTGATTTACTATTAATTTTCAAAAACTGGGTCTACGCAAGTTATCATCATTACACATCTTTTGTGGGTTCACCTTGATTGCAATAGCACCGAGTGATATTGAAGTGAGAAAAATAAAAGAAACCACATAAAGCATAAGGCAACAATGACTCTGTGCCAGCCACACAACGATCCCCACAATTTTAAAGCTCAGATTGATTCCCATTATATCATTCCCTCCATTAAGGACATAAAAACTTAGAAAAGAGAGAGAGAAAGAAGAGGGTGGGAATTGGTGAGGATTTCATTATGATGTCTTATTGGTGCATCTATTCCATACCCTCCCCAAGTCTAATGGTCATTATGATTCTGTTTCTTTGCCTTTATAAGACAGACCCATCCTGATTGAGAGCAAAACAGGTAAAAAAAGGAATTCAGATTTAGTCATTTTTTGTGTTATTTTTTAATATATAAATACGTGAACTTAAATCTAATTAGTAAAGATGCCACCGTCCATTCCTAATCAATTCATCATCGCAAAAAATTTACAGATGCTAAAAACCGCACTGTTATTAAAGTCTAGTAGTAAACTAAAATGCAGGTCATTATTTCTTTCTAGTGACAGAGCCTGTACAGTTTGTCCTACTTTGATTTGTTCCTTCTATCTGGTAATTGTTTGATCTCTTGAAAGGAACACATTTTTAAGGAAACTTAACCTGGCTTGAAAGAAACCACAAGAGTTTTCTTTTAAGGGCCGAAAGGTATGCCTATTATCATTATTGCTCTCAGTTTCCATTTGAGATGGTTGAGTCCTGTTAGTGTCAAATGGGGTGCCAGTTTGGGTCCTTTTTAATCAGAACATGTTGAGGAATAGTTAAGACATGTGATCTCACATGTGACACCTCCGTCTGTCAACCAGAAAAGAAATATTAAGGAAAAGTTGACCTACGAGGCGTCATCATCTTCATCTGATAAGAATTCGACACCTGTAATATATGCTCACGTTCACTGAGATGAGAAAATTCTAGATACTTTGCTTTGGACTGAATTTTTTGTTGTTTTGCATACAGTAATTTAATTCTACTCATCATCTTCCTCAAACCCCACTCACATATATTGAATGAACTATGACCACTATCTTATCTTTTAATAACCACCAGAGATTGAGAATGGCAGAGAATAGAACATTTCGGATAGCTGCTTGAGACAAACTTGCCGTGTCCTAAGTTTCTTTCTCAAGATTAGCTATTTCTTGAAGATTTATTATATTTTACCTCTTAAAATATGTTTCAGTCTAAAATATAATTAAGAAACTAAGCAAGTGGTTGTGGCAAACAAATAAAAGATAACATTTTGAAACGTTTCTGAGAACTGTACTTCAAAATTAAGGGGGAACACTCCATTCAAAATGCTAATAATCTTTTATGACTAAAATGCTGAAGCAGGGACATGGTACACTGATCAGAAAACTCAGAGTGACTGAACAATAGTACAATAGCTGCTTTCAAAGTACATATATATATAATTTTTGTACAAACCCAATAACCATCCAAATTGGAGTAAGGCTCTTTAGATCGGGGCAGAAAGAGGAAGAGAAAAAGAGGAAAAACCCAAAATGGGGTAAAAGAAAAATTAACCCTTGAGTAATAGTTTCATTATAGCAGAAGCCACACACCCACTAGCTTCTGCAGAGTCCCATTTCTATCCCCCAAAAGAGACTGATTCTGAGCAGAGCCTGAGAATTTCTTATCACAATTACTGATTTCCTTGGCAGCATCAGACACACAGTAACTGGCAAACCAAATCTGCCTTGGCTCACAGCATCAGCTGCTTGTGGGAGAGTATACTTGACGATGGGTATATAAGACTCTGCACAGAAGCCAAGGCTTGCTCTAATTGTTGATCTGAGGTCTGCTTGATGAGACTTTCAATGTAATTCAGAGTGTCACTTGCATTTGCCAGAAGGTTATTCACCATCACAAGAGCGACCCCTTGGAGATCAGGTTTAGGGGCGAGAGGATTTGAACGGAGGGTGGCGACACAGAGGTCATAAAAAGGAGTCTTTTTTGCATATCTGGTCTATGAAATCGCCATTACTGCTTGTATAAGGTCAGATTGGTGGGTTGTTGTGAAGAGAAGAGAAGCAAGAAGAGAAGATGAAGAAGTGGAAAGGAAGAAGACGAAGAAGAGAGTAGAGAGGCCGAGCTGAAGCTCCTCATTGTTCTTTCTTGCGAGAGGAAATGGCGGATGAAGATTATGGATGGAGGAGGAATGCGAGAATGTCACTGAGGTTCGTGCCCTCAGCCTGACTGATATTTATGGTTAGCTTGGTCGTTTGGCGTGTTAAAAATTGGAAATTCGTTTGTCGCCATTTGGAGAAAAGAGAGAGGGTGAAAATATTTGAAATCTGTTGTTGGTGTTTATGCTCAGATTTAAAAATATTCATAGATATAAAATACGATAATCATAG